CTTGATAAATAATAATTATGAGGATAGGGGAAGTGTAGTAAATATGTCTATTTGGAGTTAAGTATTTGATACTGTGCCATGTAAGAAATGCTTAGGTAAGCTTGAGAAACTATGCTTTGGTGCATACCTGCACGTGAGTAGTCTCTGTAGAGGAGAAGACAAAGGGTAGTAGCACTTAACGGGAGGCTGGGAGTTCCCCCCCAGTCAGTCCTGTTTAGTATTTGCATTAATGATTTTTGGCACTGAAAGCAAGCAGCGTGCAAGTGGAATTTGTGATGATACCGAACTAGGTGTGGTCAATACGAAGGAGGATCAAAATATCATACAGAAGACCTGGATTACTTTGAGAACAGAATAAATTAGATGGAATGAAAGCTAATAGTATGAACGGAAAGTTGTGCAATTTGGGACAATAGTAAGAGTTTGGATTTCTAAACTGGGAAAGCGTCATTTGGAAATTACAGCAGGGAATGTTAAAAGATGAGAGCTGCCAGCTGTTWGAAACCTTGCAGCTTCCTCATCAGCCTCACAAGTGTCCCTGAGGATGGGGACAGCGAGTAAGATGGGAAGGCTCCGATGCTGCCCCTGTCCTGGCAGAAGAACTGAGGGTCTGTAAGGGCACAGAGGTCCTGGATGCGCCTGGATGTGCCCACGCAGCAGGATGTGTTGGGGAGGTGCTGAGGGAACTACGTGAGCAGGGAGCCGTATGGTGCTGCACGTGCGTGGTCACTCTGCCAGGACCAAAGTGGATGGGCAAGGCAGAATCATGAAAATAAGCAGCTCCAGAAACAGGGTGGTGAAGGCTAAAGATCAATTAGCACCAGTGGAGTCTGGAAATGAGGTGCCACCTATTGCTGCTCCTGTGGTTTCTGTGCAGGTTCTCAGGAAGAAGTGTTGCTGTCTGGCAGAAGTATGGAGGAATTGAAAAACCTTTTGCTTTACAGCTTGCTGTCTCTCCTGAACACATTCCTTATTGACTTCACTCTCTCTAATTTAATCTTCCTGCATTTTATGAGCTTGCAATATACTCAATAAGACTAACATGMGCTGAGGCTCAGCCATTGCCCCAACTGTAAGTGGTTACAGATGGGCACTTCCCTTCCTTGTAGGCTGGTCTCTGAGACATTTTCGTAGCCATGAAATATTCTGCTGGCTGCTTTTGAAGGGACGGAGAAATAGYGTTTTGTGCTTCCTCCTGGGATCCTCAAGGAAAAAGGACAGGTGGTGTCAGGGCATTTGCATAACTCTGAAAGGTGGCTTTAACCGATGACAAATTTTAATCTGGTAGCTGTGACCAGAGAACCATACATCAACCCCACTGCCACCTCTCCAGGAGGGACAACCGTAACAATGCCTGTGCTTGCAGAGATTTTCCTGCTGCTTCTCTTCCTGCTGAGAAGAGCAAACATCAGCTCATCAACCAGAGGTCCAAAGCAAAGGAAATCCCRGACTCATCTCCATACAGCAGGAAGGGCTCTGAGAGTGCAGGGGGAGAGAGGGTCAAAGCAGTCAGAAGGGGCAGCCAGTGTCTTGCCAGGGAACGCAAAGTTTATCCAGCATCAGAAGGCAGGAAAAGGCCTTTTGGAGCAGCTGAGTCTGGCATAAACCACCAGCACTGCAGCTGCTTCATGTCATCCTCCTCCAGGCGTGTGCTGCTCACAGAGCACTGCTTAAAATGCCAGGGAGAGCGCAGGCACCACAGCGCTCTCGGAGGGGCAGGGGAGGCCGAGCCCTGCCTGGTCCTTGCCCTCCTGCTCCAACTCAGGTCATAGACCTGCAGGAGAGCTCGCCTGGGAATTTGGGTACGCGAGCACCCCGGCTTTCCCGAGCAGAGGGGCAAATGCCTGGCGTGATGCAGGGGACTTCCCTCGCAGCAGCCACCCCGCGGTCCCCAAAGGGTGGCTGCAGTGCTCTGGATTTCAGTGAGTCCCTCGAGGCTTGGGCCTGACACACGTCCCTGCGGCCGCCCGGGCGCCACGCRCTGCTCTCCGCGTGGCAACGTGGGCTCTCCGTGGGCAGTGCCACCACCGGGAGCAGCATCTTGCTGCGTGTCGCTGGGACTGAGCTTCCCAGGCAGGTTCTGCGGGGAATCCTGGTGCGTTTCCGCCTCTCTGAAAATTCCGCTGCTGCCGCTGTGCTCCGCGCTGCGGCCGCTCGCCCTGGAATGCGCTTTCCTTCGCCTGATTAGCTCTGTCTGTCAGCAGGGCGAGTCCCTCGCCTGCAATCAGTAACGCGAGCTGGTGCTGAAGACATGCTCGTCCCGCGGCCCACGGGCCTCCCGCCTGCCCTAGCATCAGGTGCTCGGGCACGGCGCCGCTCCAGGAGCGCTGCAGGATTCCCCGCAGATTCCAAACCCTTCCTCTCCAGGAAATCCTCTTCCTCTGCGGTCTTACATTCAACTGCAGAACACTTGTGAGTGCTTCCACAGACATCAGCAAGAGCCACTGATCAGTGCGATGCTCAATTCCCTTTTATGTGGCTTTCTGCTTGGAAACTGGAGTTTGTAGTAGTGACCAAAGCACTGGGTAGTCCTAAGGCTGGTCAGCCAGAGGTGTGCGTGTCTTGCCGCCAGCCTTGCCGTCAGTAGAGGAGCCAAATTTAGTCTTAGCTTAAGCAAGCACGATCGTAACACCCAAAGTTTTATCAACCACCTCTGAACTTATTGTATTTAAATAGCTACTCTACTCTTACCTTTCACACAGGCAGATTTCTTCCAGCCCTCAGATAAGGTGCTTGCGTGTGACCTGAGCTGACATTTTTGGTGGTTTGAGCTTGCCTAGAAGTGACTGCTTCCCCGGTTTCCCTACGCAGCAGGGGACACAAGCAGGTCGTATTGGGTGAAACCAGTTGGCTTCTCTTATTGCTCCACGAGGCAGAAAGACATGAAGGAGTGATCAGCCCATGAGCTCTGACATGTCAGGCACAGTCAGGCTCCCTAGTGYTCCAGATAGGCTTGGGCCAGCAAGCCCAGCTGTAAATCAGTGCATCAAGACCTGGTCTCCACAGCATCACCCTCGTGCCAGCAGGCAGCTGCTGGCTCTGTGCACCCTGGCCTGCCTCGTAGCCAAGGGCTGTGGTGGCCAAAGTGGCCCTGCTGCACCACAGGGGCTGCTTGCCTGGCCCCGGTGATGTGCCACGTGTGGGAATGTGTCCTGCATGCTCCGGATGGCCGGAATGTACAGCCGTGTCCTCACAGCGCTCCCTGCTCTGCGCCCTCAGCATTTCCTGGGGGGCTTTCTAAAATCCTTCGTCCTTCTTGCACAAACCAGCTCTCTGCCCTGTGCCACGTTTCAGTTTCTGCTCTCATGCTAACAGAGCCAAGCAGTGAGTTTTTCCCGGGTGTTGCCTTTTCAAGTTATAGACAAGGTCTTGGCGTTTTCAGAATCCCAAAGAGCACCACCACACTTTTCCATGCCTGGCCCTGTTGTTATCCCGTTTTGGTGCACCTTGGCAGCATCCCAGTAAACAGCGTCTCTGGAAGCAGAGGAAGTTGAAGACTTTTTTAGACCACGGGTTGCAAGATAAAACCTGCCTGAACTTTTCTTAGCAACTTCAGCTGTCATCATTCCTGTGCACTAAGGAGGTGGAGGTGGCTGGTAAACACACAGCAGGGGAAGAGGAGAGGTGTTCCCCAAATGCATTRGGGATTTATRAAGGGAACCTCAGCTCCAAGGATTTATGAAGGGAACCTCAGCTCCAGGGACTTCTTCCCAATCGGCTCCATACTGTGACCAGAGGGACAGCTTGTCCCAGACAGGACTGCATGTCTGCAGGTGGCATGGGACCCACACACACGTCGTGTATGAGGAATACAGCCAGTGTGGGACCTGTGCTCTTCAGGGAGGTACTCAGGGTTTTGCAGTGGGCTTTGGATTGGTGTGGGTACCTGTGAAGAAGTACCCTTTGGAGGGCACATTTGCCTGGTGATTTGCTGGCCGAGGCCGCTCCCGAGAGTCTCTGATTGATTTCATCATGTTGCACATCTTATTTAGAGTCCAGAATTTTGCTGTCTGGAGACCAGGATTCATTTCCTAGGATTCTTGCCATGCTAGGAGACCTTGAGGTAGCTGCTTTTCCCTGCTCTATCTCAGGCTTCCCAGGGGGGACAATCTACTCAGAGCTTTCATTAAGTGCTTTAATGGGACTGGCGCTGTGGGGTGACGGCAGCTGCTGTGACCGCTGCTCAGGCCTGCTGCAGGGAACACATCTGGGTGGGCTGACAGCAGCTAGAGCAATCCCTGCCCTGACGGGCCGGCCTGGGAGACGTGACCGTTTCACCCTTGGCATTGTGTTAGCGTAACCTTTAGCATGCGGTTTCSTGCTGGTAGGGCGAGCGCAGGCAGCGAGCCTGCTCTAGCAAAGCTGGGCCTGGAGCTGGCCACTGCAGTTCTGGTGCAGAAACACGGAGTGGAGGAGCATCCCGTGCCAGGGAAAGGCTCCCAGAGAGCAGGCGCAGCAAGTTCTCAGTGCTTTAGGAGGAGGAATGGGTTGTTGCACTGCTCTTTCTGCCGTTCATACAGTGCTGTTGGACTTGTGCGTCATGGCCTGGGAGGACATCTGCCCCAGCTGAAGGCACTGGGGATGCCCAGGTCTCAACATATCAAAGAAATTCACCCAGACTGTGCCAACGGGAGACTTTCTCCTTCAAAGATGTGAATCTGCTGGTTGTATCTGCCTTGCATCCGGGATGGACATTAGTCTGCAAGGGATCTTCTGTTCTTCAGCAGGGCCTCGCAGCTGCCTCGGCAGCGGTGCAGCCAAGGGTGTCTCTGGCGTGCGGTGCCTTCCCGTGCGTGGCAGCAGGTCGTGTGCCCGTCACCAGTGCAGGGGCAGCACTTGCTGTTCAGGAGCAGGCCCGTGTCGGGAAGGGGCCACGCGGTGAGAGCGGAGAGGGCTCCTTAGTGTAACCCCCTGCACGGGCCCTGCTGCCGCCTCCTGGGGCGTGGGGACGCCCTTAGCCAGGAGAGCTGCTGATCTCCGTCTCTCTCATTTCCTTGCAGTCGTGGACACACAACATCCAGCGGGAGAAGGAATTCTTGCGGAAGCTGGTGAAAGCCCGAGTCATCACTGACCTGACCAGTGGGATTTGAGTGGCTGCAGCCGCTGCCTCAAAGGGAGGAGAGGAAGACACACACTGCAGCGCTGGGAGCAGGCACTGGCAGCCCTCTGCGAGGATCCCACCTCACTGGAGACAAGCAGAGATGCCCAGGTGCTCCGGGACGGCCCTCTCGCATTGCCAGGCTGCACAGGGGCTGCATCTGCTGCCTCCAGGCCGAGAGCTGGCAGGAGGTGGGCAGGAGACTGAGCGGGCCCTTCCTGAACTCTGCATAGCAGACGGCTCTTCTGTGTCTAGCATTAAATGGGAAAGACTCAGGAGAGAGAAGAGAGGTTTGTGAACAAAACAATTTGTGCCAAATGGGAGGCGGTGCTGCCCTGAAGCAGCAATGCCTGAATGTACAAAGTATTATTTTTTAAAAGAAAAACTGCTGGAATCATACTAGAAATACCAAGGTGCAAAGCAAAGCCTGCTTGTGCACAGCCCTGCAAAAAGCTCGGCCCCCTCCACGCTCCATCTGCATTGCCACTGGCCTCAGATTTTCCCCAGGAAAACAAATCCGTCCAAAACTTCAGTGTTGTTGGTGCTGCTATAATTTAAAGGGAGAATGGCTTGCCCTCATTCTCCACTTGAAGTTTCTGATTGGGGATGAGTATGGGTTTGTTTTTCTGCTCCTTTCCTTGCTTCCTGCATAGAGGCAGCAACAGCGACCACTTGTTAGGCTGCATTTTCCATAGCTGTTGCTCTGYCCCGACCCCAGCGTGGAGCAGGGAGCCAGGGGCTGTGTCTGCCTGCAGCAGACCCTCGCTGCCTTCCTGCCCGTCCCGGCACTGAGGAACCTGCCTYGCTGAGCTCAAGCCTTCCAGGCCTCTTGGGGTGTGCCTGCTATGCAGGACCCTTGAGGAGTCCCTGCAGTTTGGTGTCACCATTTCTGACAGCATCTCGCTTTATTTTTACGTGGGAGAGGAGTAACTTATGTTTTGGAAGGAGGTCACATCTTGTGTGGCGATCTGAAGCTTTCCAGTGTTTAAGAGCAGGCGGCCGAAGATGTTTGTTCCACGTTCCCGACTCGCTTGCGTTTCCTATTTAAGTGACTCGTGACCTCCACGGTGACGGAGCCCGCTGGCAGGCCCGGGGGAGCCCGCTGGGAACCTGTGCCCTCCGCTTGGCCCCTGCTCACTTCATTTCCACGCTCCCTCCATGCTGCTCTAGCACTGCTGCTCCCAGGAGCACGTCCCTTCCTTTGCCGTCTTGGTCCCGAGATGCAGTATTTGCACATTTGGTTTGTGTACGTATTTCAGAGGAGCTGGAATAAACTGAGCACCGCGCCCGAGTGCGAGGACAGTGAGGGGGTCTCACCCGCGTGGCGAGCGTGGCGGAGCGGGGAGCGCCGGGGTGGTGGGCGCAGCGGGAACGCGCTCCCGCTCCCGTCCAGCCTGCAAGGGACCAGACTGCGCCCGCAGARGGTGCCCCAAGCCGTGTCCCTGCGTGTCGAGGCACCCGTGTGCTGCCAGACCCAAAGAGGTCAGTGATGGGGGGCTCCARGAGGGCTTGTGGTCACAGTGCTCAATCCAGCCCCCTGGGCTGGAGGGGGAGCTCAGCCTTAGCCCCCACCCACGTGAATGGGGAAAGGATGCTCAGAGCAGCCTCGCAGGGGTGCCCAGGCCRTCCTGCCCCTGCTGCCTTGCCGAGGGTCGTGGCTCCTGGGCGGAGACCACACAGGGGATGAGCAGTGAACCAGGCATGGGGTGGARGAGTAAACTGTACCAAATGGTTAAACGAGGCTGCAGGAAGAGGCAAGTCTCAGTCTTGACATGGTGCTGGACACGTCTTCAAGTAGGGGATGCCTCCCTGGAGCCTTCCCTGTGCAGGGCACCCGGTGTGCCCATAGCCCAGGAGCCTGACCGGGGATGAGTCCTGGTGCAGCCTCTGCCCCATCTCCTGCAGCTCCCAGGGGACAGAGGTGCTGAGATGCTCATCCTCATGCCCCTATCCCAATCCTGCCGTGGGGCTCTGCCTGTCTGCCCAAGCCAGGCAGTCCCTGCTCCCCCCAGGCACTGTCTGCCCTGGCAGTTCTGCCCCAAGGATGCTCTGGGCTCTCCTGCACACTGGGCCAGTGCCATGACTGACATTCACATCAATATTCTCCCCTGATTCCTTTTTATTCCCGCTTGAGGAACTGGATTCCTATGGCTTTCACCAAGTGATGCTCACACTGCGGTCCTGTGTCCCCAGGTCGTTCCGTGGTGGCAGGGAGTGGGACACTGTCCTGAGGTGGTCACTGAGGGCAGGGTGGGCTCTGTCCTCCGGCGGTGCTTGGACTGGCTTTTCAACCAGCCACATAGGAGCCCTGGCACAGCTTCGGGGGCAATGGGCAAAGCCAAGATGCCAGAGCGGGGAGAGGAGAAGGAGGGTGAGAAAGAGCCCTTGGTGTCAGCGCTGGGCCCCTCTGCAGCGCTCAGAGGAGCGGAGACGCAAGGCTGATCAGGAGGGGCCTCCGTCGCTGCCGCAGACGGTGCAGCGCACGGTGACCAACCATCCCTGGGCAGCRGGGCCTGTGACCTTCCCCCTGCGTCCCAGCTGAGCTAGGCTGGGCTCCTGGGATAGACGGGAGTCCTTTTGCTCGCAGGATCCTGCGGGATCTGGAGGCGGAAGGTGGGAGGCCGGGGCGCACAGGTGAGGCAGRGAGGCTCCCCGCCGCCGCTGCCCCGGACACCCTCCGGGGCCRGAGCCGACACGGCCGGGCTGGGGACGCTGCCCGCGTGGCCCCGGCCCCGCTGCGTCCCCCCGCTGCCCCGGGCTGCTTCCCCGCGCGCCCCTGCAGCCTGCTCCCGCGCGGCGAAGGCTGCGGCGCTGGCAGCCCGAGCGCAGCGCGCGGGTCAGGGCAGGGTCAGTGGGACGCGTGCGAGTCCCGGCCTCTCCCTGCCGTGACTCACCTTTCCGTCTCGGGAGGGAGAGCCCAGGGGAATTCTCCAAGGCCTAAATATAGAGCGGGGTTGCCTGGCGCCTCCGCCGTGTGCGCGGGCGCTTCGGGTGGCAGCGAGCGGCGCGTGCCATGAGCCTCCCACCGGCGCGGCYGCCCCCAGCCCGCGGGAGGGCTCCTCGCTCCGGCATCCTGCCCCTGCGTCCCTCGCTCCAGCCTCGGCTCCAGGGACCCCTTTCCCCTGGGGGGAGCAGCCCCAAGGTGCCRCGCTGCTCCCGCCGTGCTCTGCCCCGGGCACGTGCGCAGAGGCCAGTGAGCTCGCCGGTACTGTGTGGGGCTGCCCTGCAAGAACTCGATGAGGTTTTTWAAATATTAGTTTTAGTTTCTGCATTTTTTTTAATTTCCCCTCTAGGCAGGGAGGGCGAGAGTCTTGTGGGCTCCTTCAGGCCGGCTTATGTCACATCAATTCAGTCATATCACAGAAGCAATAAAGCTATCAAACAAGCTCGGCTGGTCTCTTTCTTCTGCTGCCTTGGGCTCTTTGGAGGCAGAGGGATTCCCCCGCTGGGCTATCCCGGCCTCCCTTAGCTCCGGACTCCTGCAGCCCCAGGGCACGTGCTGGGATCCCGCAGCCACCCCAGCACCGGGATTTCTCRCCGCAACCCTCAGGGTGCTGGGCGCCCAGATGGGATTCGCTCCCGGCCCCTTGCTGCACAGCCGGGCCGCCCGCGGGCGCTCCCACCTATGGCCGAGTGACCTTCTCGCCRCAGCGACCAGCAGAGACACCGCTGKGGAGGCCGAGGCCGAGGCTGAGGCTGAGGCTGAGCCCGGCACCTGCCAGGCCGCAGGGGAAGGAGTGTCAGCCCCGCTGCCAACCCTGGCAGCGCTGCGCGGCTGCCGGGACTGCCCGGGGACACTCCCAGCGCTCCGGGGATTGAGGACGGTGCTCCCAGGTGAGTGGCTCCTCTGCCAGACCCGTCTGGCCCCGAACACGAGGGTGGCTTCCTGCCAGCGCTGGGGAGAAGGCAGTCGCCTCCCCAACGTGCGACTGAGGCTACAAATCTCTTCCAGAAACGTGATGCTGGAGCCGGGCCAGGGAGGGATCTGCTGGAGCTGCTCAAATCCCTCCTTCCTGCGCTCCGCTCTTCAGGCCCTTAACGAGGGGAGCCCCCAGCGCGAATGGCCTGGGCCAGCCCCGTCTGTGGCCCGTACCCCATCCTGGCCCTYGGGAGGGCTGTGCAGGGCGGAGAGCGGAGCCTGGGATCAGGGCACGGCCAGGACGGCCGTGGGAAGTTCAAGTTAGCAGTAACGAAGGCGCTTACTGGGGTTACAGGTGTTCCCAAAGRAGCGACACAGCCGAGACGCGGCTGATGGCCCTGGTTCGTGTCCTTGGCTGTGACCCGGGCACGCTGGTGCGGGCACCGCGGCCTGTGGCTGCCAGAGCCGGGCTTGGCAGGGCCAGTCCCCATCCCAGGGCTGCCTGGGGGCGCCGGGAAGGTYGTGCTGCCCCGGAGCAGGAGGCCGCCGGCTCCGCCAGCATCCTGGGGCCAAGGCGCCCTCGGCGCCCTGCCCATCCCTGGGGGCTGCAGGACACCCTGCTGGGAGGTGCAGCACCCACCCACAGCAGCGGGACCTTGGCCCCTCRTCCCTTCACACAGCGGCTCCTCTCCTGCCTGCACAGCTCCCTRCTCTGCTGTGACAATGTGAGGAGCAGCTGGGCCCATGGAGGAGGTGGCAGGGGACCAGGTGCCCCACATGGGGTGACCCAGCACCTTCAGCCATGTCCCTCATCACCATCCCAGCCCCCAGGACTRGCTGCCAGGGGATGCAGCACCGTAGCAGCCCCTTCTCCCCACATRGACATGGCTGTGACCAGTTCCAGTCCCGTGGGCACAGCCAGGCAGCCCGCGGCGGGACATGCCAGCCCTATGGACACTGCAGAGCAGACAGCTGCTCTGYCTGAGCCTGCAGCCTTGCCAAGGGAAGGAGCAGGTCCCTCATCTCCCATGCCAGGTCCCTCCCCACCCCAGGGCCCCTCCTGCGCCCTCCAACCTCCACAGCCGCCCTCKCACCATCCACCCCGGCCACAGCGCTGGGGACGGCACAGCCGGAGCCCCCGGCGTCAGCGCCTTCCCCGGCAGGTGCTGCTGCGGGAGCCAGCACCCCCACACTGGATAATCCGCCGGGATGAGAGGAGATGAGCCGAGACGGACGGCGCCGCGCGGCAGGGAAGGGTTAATGCTGCACGGGGCTCGGGGCAGACCCCACGGGTGTCCCCAGCCCGGCGTGCAGCCCGGCGCAGCCGGCGAGCGAGCCGCTGGCCCCGCTCCAGAGGGGGAGTTATATAAGCCCAAGGATATTGTGCTGACACGGTTAAGCCTTGCCTGGGCAGATGACACGGCACGCAGCATCCCGGGGCGCGCAGCCCGCCCGGCGGCCTCCGGCCCCCGCGGCACGCAGGGCCCGGGGGGCCGGTGCGCCATGAGGAGCGGCCCCGGGGGGCCTGCCCGGCCTGGGCTCTGCCCCGGCGGCCGCCGGCTCCCGCTGGGAGAGCACGTGTGAAGCGGGGCCGAGCGGAGGCGGCTCTGGGATTTGGCACATTTGCAAGGAGCACTCGAGAGCCCCGGGATGGATGTGGAGGACCCTGGGTGGTGACGTAAGGACTCGCACGGGCTCCACTCCRCTCGCCAGCCGGCCCTCATGTCCCCGGGGCCTGCGGCGGCCCCGGCGGAGGCAGGCAGGGACACGGCAGAGGTAAGGAGCCCCGCGACGGGCGGCCACGCTGCGGCGGACCAGCCACGGGAGGCAGGCGGGCTGGGAGGCTGGGCAGGGAGGCCGGACTCCTCCTCCAGCGAGGCCAGGCTTGAACTCATGGCACGCGGGTGGCCTGAGGTGGCTCGGATGCCTCGGGATGCTGGCCAGCCCCGCCGTGGGCCAGGTGCTCTTGGGACAGTCCCAGCCCCGCACCCTGTGCTCACAGGTCCCACCACCCACTCGCTCCCCTCTGGGACTCGGGTGACCCAGCCCTTGGGGGGGGTCTCCTCATGGGGATGTGACTCCCCCTCCCCGTGCCCTGCAGGGGATCTCCGCAGGGCCGGGGCTCCCCCAGCTTCAGGGAGGGTGGAATTAGGCCCCCGGGGTAGGGGGGTGTCCGTGTGTCTGTCCCGCCCGCTGTTGTGGCCGGGAGGCCAGAGCAGGGATCCAGCTCCGCCGGAGCAGCCGGTGGCCCCGCCGTCGGAGCAGCCGGTGGCCCCGCCGTCAGGGAGCCAAGTGTGCCCAGCCCTGCAGAGCGGCCGCCGTCCGGCCGTCCGGTGCGAGTCCGTCGGGGTGTCCCCTCCGGGCGGTGCAGGGGGGTCTGTGGGCCCGGCCTCGGGCAGGTGCCCAGCAGAGCCRGGACGGTCGTTGGGGCAGGTTGTGAAGCGGGTCCGGGTCCCGGCGCAGCTCCCGGTTGAGCTCCGGTCCTGCGCAGCTCCGGGCGGTGCCGGTACCGACCCCGCTCGCGGTGCGATCCCGGTGTCGGTGCAACCCGGTCCCGGGCTGCGTGCCGCTGCCGAGGTGGGTCGCGGTCGAGTCTCAGCGCTGGCCCGGCTGCCGGGGGGCGGGCGCCGGTGCTGTCCCGGGMCCGGGTGCCGGAGCGGATCGCGGTCGGGTGCCGGTGCCGGAGCCGAGGCGGGCCGGGGTGGGGTCCCG